AACTAATTTTGGTAACTATAAGATGTGGTTTTGACAAAACTTGTTAAAGCATGTGGATGTTATATTAGGATTAAGTGAATCATCATAACTAATAAGTGTTATATTACATATAGTTATGTTATTAAATGAAACGAGTCACTCGTGAGTTTGGCTCGACTCGTTTGATAAATGAACTGACTTCGAGCTCATTGAAAGTTCGTTTAATTAACGAGCTGACTCGACTCGTCAAGGCTCGTTCTATAAATCAACTCGTTAAAGTTCGATATATAAACAAATTGAGCTCGATCTCGATTACTGTCTTAAGTGTCTGAGCTTGACTTTGAGCACCATAAGCTCGANCTCGATTACTGGCTCATTAAGTGCCTGAACTTGAACTCGTGTATCATGAACTCAAGCTCGGGTCTGATCGCTTACAACCCTAATTACACATATATGTACATGTGATTAAATTGTGGCTATCGGTGATTTCCACTGTTGACTCAACAAATACCCGCATATATTGACGTACGTGTATTTGTGAGTATGTGATGTTTAATTGTAAAAAGTACTGTATAAAAAGTGTATGGACCTCGATTTATGTATATCTCATGGGGAAATTTGTATTAAGAATCAAATTAATTAATAAAGGACCAGTGGATTAAAAGAAAAAGAAGAAAACATAATTTCTTAAGTTATATACTCTATGAAAAAATGCATATTGCATGCTTATATATATATATTATTAGATCTCATACAGTCATACTTATATTTATATATGTATCTACATTTTCAAGTCACAATAAATTTTTGTCAAAAACTAAATTTCCATTGCAATTCTAGCTTAAATTTGATAATTTCAACAGTAACTTTTTCAACAATCTTTTGTTGTAGAAATTTTTATTAAAATATGTGAATTTTTCGTTGAAATTATTTTTTACGCTTGTAGACAAGAGTATGGTTGAAATCGATAAGATCTAATAAATATTTTAATAGAAACGAATTCAAAAGGTATTTATTTTTTATTTTTTATTTTTTGAAATGTTCATTGTAATTTTTCAATGAAAATCATTACATTGGGATGTTGGAATTTTGTGGAAATTTATCAACATTTCATAGGTTAAAATGTTTTTATCAGAAATTCTATGAAGCCATTGGATGACTCCCTTATGAAGACATTATAACTTTATGTACTGATACATGTCCAATGTGCATTTATTGCAGGACACGTATCAATACATCATTTGTGAATAACTATGAATGTGTACATAAGTCAAGTCAACTGATGTCTTCATAGCAAAATCGGTGTTTTTATAGTATTAAAAAAATAGCATATTTTGCCTAATGGCCCAAAATTATGCCAAAAGGCATTAACAATTTAACATGTTTGATATGGGGGAAAATTACATAGATGACCCCTAGTGTAGATATATTTACATAAATACAATCCGTGTGAAACATAATCAAAATAGGATTAATTACTGATTTTTTTTTACATTTGTACGAGATTTAGTTCCAATCAACATATTTGTTTCTCTCTTTCCATATATTGAAAGTCCTCTCCAGAAGGCGAAATCCCCGCAAAAAAAAAACGTGCCTTCCCTGCAAAGAAAACAGCAACACATTAAAAGAAAAAAAAAACATGACAATCATGATTACCTATAATTTAAGAATTCACGAATTCAAGTTTAGAAAATGGGATTATCATATCAATGGATTCTTGATATATATATATATATATATATATATATATATATATATACACATAAGATAAACAACATATATGAACATATTTTTTGATTCTGCAATAACCCAAAAACAGGAAAACAAAAAGTGTATATATATATATATATATACATAAAATAAACAGCATGTAAACATCTTTGATTCTGCAATAACCCGATAATAGAACCAAAAAGTGTATATATATACATAAAATAAATGTTTGTCCCGTTTTTGTTGCTATTCTCGTTGCTATTTTGTGTGTCGTTTTCCCTATTTTAGGTCTTTTCCTAGGTATTTTTGGTCCATTTAGTCGTTTCTTGTGTTTTTGTCTTTATTATGCCGTGTTTAGTATTTTCTTTATTTTTCCTCCTATTTTCTTGTTTTTCGTGTTTTTCCGGTTGTAGTGGTTT